CCGAATCTGAAGTTCGGCAGATTCGGTCCATCACTAACATTTACGGCGTGAGTGTGTGTAGGCGTTGTAAAAGAGGGGGGGGGGAGAGGAGAGGGCCAATTGTGTATGCGCACCGGGCGCTTTGGTCACTGGTTCCTTTAACGGCACAGTCGATAGACCCCCAGCAACAACGCTCACGCCGGATTGGCTACTCGGCAACGCGCGGGAACTTAAATTCCGGATTCGGACGGCGCGTGTATGACTCGAAGCGCGTCAACCCGCGCGTTAACCCACCCCCGCGCCTGCGTTCTTACCGCTTCGCGGCGACAGTGTGCGGCTGCTAATTACGAAATGATTAACCCCCCCCCCCCCCCCCCCTCTCCCGTACACGCCGCTTTGCGGCGTCCAGCCGGCAACCCAAGCCCCGCTGCCCCCATGCACCTCCGTAAATAGAGTCCCATACGATTTAGTTCAGTGATGTTTCGTCAACAATATTCGTTTTTTGTTAGTGTTAATTGTAAAAAAGAAATGACGTAAATATCGCCAAATGCCTCGTCAAAACAAAATGTTTGAGGAAAAAAAAAAAGAAGTAAGCCCACACCATGGATAGAATCCGGGTCTGATACGTATGAGGCAGACATCTTGCCACTAATTATGCTTCCGCTTCGGAAATTCGCATTGTAACCGCTGCCTAGGTTGACGGCGGCAGCGCCTATCTCCACGAATCAGCCAATCCGGCGTGAGCACCGTTGCTAGGGTTTGCATCGCCTACGCATTAAAAATATGCCCCCGCGGGTCGGGGGGCGGTGTCTTTGGTATTCCTTGGACGCCGCCGGCCAGTGTTTGCCCTGCCCAGTTGCGGCTGTTTCAGGGGGGGGGGGGGGGGGGGGGGGGCAAAACACATGTCTTTCCCCCCCCCCCTCTGAGACCTAGGGGGGGGGGGGGGGCAAGCGCCCCCCTTGCCCCCCGGTTGGTACGCCCATGTACACACCCCCTTGTTTCACTGAAGGCACCCTCTTAATTCGCAACGATTCCTCTAATCTCAATGCCCTCTCCCCAACCCCACCCCCCCCCCCCCCTAAAAATTTAGACACCCCCCTAATTTCAATTCCTGGGGGAACCCCTGGGCGTAACAACAAGATGAGACGACGTACACTGTCGGCTATTGATGCCGCTGGTCGGGCCGTGATCGGAGGGGGCAGGGTGTCGCAGGTTGACATTCCACTTTACAATAAAGAGTCCACTTGAGGGATTACAGTGCAATCGATCGACCTGCAGATAGTCATGTTGGAACGCTGGTCTGGCCAATGTGACTGTCGTCTGCGATGTCCTGTTGTCTCCTCCCCGATAGCGATTGCGCTCTGGGGAAAGGACTGAATAGTATGGAATTACGACGGAAAGTACGTATATTTACTGTTTTGAATTTTAGCATTAAGGGAGGATGGTAGGTAAAATAAACAAAAAAGGTATCCTTTAGTTTCCTGCTTAAATATACCACGATTCCTGGAGAAACTGCCCTCCAAGTGGCGCGCTGGGATGAGCGCTAGCGATTTCTCTGACAGTGGAGCTTCGCTTCCACCTGAGTGAATACCCCCTTTTACGGCACAGGCGATAGACCCCCTACAGAGATTAATGCAAGACAACAATTGCAGCCGCACGGTAACAGCACAAATATGAAAACCAATACTGCAGTAGAAACACTGGCTACGACGTTCCGTGCGGGGAAGCAAATACATGGCTTAAAAACCGCAGTGGAGCGGCTAGATTTATTGGCTTTCAAATAATTACGGCATGCGTGCTTACTTTTTATTAAGAGATTCATCCCCTGAGCCGTTCAAAACACTCTCAGAGGTATGACATTGCTGAAACAAAATCAACATGCTGGGATTATTTTTTTTTTTTTTTTTTTTTTTTTGCTTAGGTGATCACCGAGAAAATCCGTACCTTCAAAACGACCAGTATAAAAGGCGGAAACGCAGAGCACAGATGTAGTGATCGTGCTAGTGTGTTGTATTGGTGTTAGTATGTGCCATGTATGTATGTGTGTGCGTCCGATATATATTCAGCTGATAATAGTGGTATGCATAATGTATATACATGTGTGATAATAAGGTGCTGAAGGGCCCAGCGTAAAGTAGCGGTGTGAGCAAATGTTTTTTTTTTTTTTTTTTTTTTTTGTAGCACATGAATTGAGCGGTATTTAGTGACATCTAGCCTAGGTACTTGCAATTACTCTGCTTGACCCTGCCATCTGGTGGCAAGCGATTTAACCTTCTTTCACGCTTCGTGATCATTTCTAGGACAGCTTCAAATTTGCTCTTTTTGAGAGCGGCTTTTGGTTTCGCGAATGGCTTACCACTCCTCCGTGATCTGGTGTTGACGATGGAATAGTGGCTCGAGGAATAGAAAAAGTAAGACGTAAAGTGCTAGAAGTAACTGGGTATCGGTTGTCTCTGTTTAAAATCGCAGTCCTGACGACGAGAAGACTGAGTGACTGCTATCGAAACGCAAGTTTCTTAACTCGCGGGGGGCGCTGGCTTCGGAAATAAATACAGTTCGTGGAAAGCTCGTGTTGTGCTTTTATTTGCTGCTCTGCTCGACCCGTACAGTCGCCGGCCATATGAGCTCCCCCGGCCGAACGCCGACCGGAGCAGCAAAAATCCCGCATGCGGCGCGTCGAGCGTTGCCGCGTTCTGGGAGCCGGGCTATTGGGACCGAACCATTCCATTATCTAAGGGGTGGACGCAGGAAGTTTAATAGCATTCCGCGTTTTGGAACGCGAATCTGAAGCACGGCCGATTACAGTCCCGCTTCCGGTTGTAGGTAAACGCACACGGCCTATTGAAATTCTTCACTGCATAATATCTCTGACGTGTTATATGCTATTTTTTATTTGTAAAACCGGTGTGTCATTTTAAATATTTCCTACGGAAAAGTAATCCTATGCCACAAGCTTACAATATTTCTTAAACCTAGACTAGACAATGACAAGCTAACTTGAAATAATTTATTTAATCTATAAGAATATGCTATAGATAACAAAAAAAAGTTTTGTGTCGAAGCAGAATAAAGATTCGGGCACTTTTCATGAACGCGTTTTATCGAGACCCTCTTGTTCTGCGCTCAGTAGCGTGTTGCTTCGCCAAGGGTAATTCTCTACACGATGACTTTGCAGATGGCTTCCTGGTCGGCCACTTCTCGCTTGCCGGGGGATCATTGTTGTCACGCCATATATTATATAAAAGATAGAGTTTTTACATTTGTAAGCATCGATCGAACACTGCTGCTTTATCTACGCCTAAAGGAAGCTCCAGTTTATCAGCAGTTATAAAATCATCTCTGAGCACTTGGGGCCAACACCCGAAGACGGCAATTCTAATCGGCCATGTTTTTGCGGTTCACACTTCTAAATGCTGGAATTCCGATAAAAGTTATGCGTCCACCCCTTTGATAACGGAGTGGTTTGGTCCCAATAGCCTGACTCCCAAAACGCGGCAACGCTCGACGCGCCGCGTGCGGGATTTCCGCTGATCCGCTCGGCGTTCGGCCGGGGGAGCTCATATGGCCGGCGACTGTACATACAATAGTAGTCGCAGCTTCATTGTTAAGCCTCACTGAGCTCGACTCGCTAGATTCGGGGCCGCCATAATGAGATGCAGACGACGGAGGAATTTTGCTCCCGGGCCAGCTTTCAGGGTCGAAAGTTCCTTCCTTTCTTATGGAACGTATGTGTAGAGAGCGTTCCTCCCTTTGGGGAGGACTATATAGACCCTTTTTTATAAGAGTGCGCTGGTTATGCCAATCATTGACGTCACGCATTTCCCTCCCCGAAAAGCATCCCTCGTGCGAATAGCCCCTTTGAAGCGGCATGTAAAGCCATTTGTGGGGAAGGTCTTTTTAGGCGAGGATTAAAGAAAGAACACGATAGGCAAAAGTTTACGTTTTCCGAGCAGAATCTGCTTGATCGCTAGGTACTTCATGCCTTCTGAACCGGTCACCTGACCAGAAAACCTTTCTTGCGGCTATTTTAGCAGTCAGGTGATATAGCCACATTGATCAGGAAACCGCCCCAGGAGCGTGGAAACAGAGGAGACGAACACGAGTCCAAGGTTAATGTTTGTCCCAAATGATTCAAACAGGAGACGACGGACGACAAAGGAGACAAGAGACAAACACGGTGCGTGTGTCTCATATCCCCCTTGTCGTCCATCATCTCCGGTTAGAATCATGTGTAACGTTAACCAACTCGCCTGTTTATTAACCTTGTCTTTTAATGTTTGTGATTGACCCGTTTGTCTGCACGCTCTAGGGTTGATATCTTAAAGGGGCACTGACACCCCAAAGGTCGTATTTATTTTTATTGTCTAAAACGATGCAAGTTGCAGTCATAGACACGCAAAAAAAAACGCATCGCGAAAAAAAATTTTCCCGCGCGCGCGCGCGCCTTTTTATTTTTGGCGTTTGATTTTCCCGCGTCTCGCCTCCTCGCTTCTTTTGATCGGTGACGTCAAAAATCAGGAAATTTAGAAGCTTTGTAGGCGACATCTCTATAACATTTAATTACGGCAATCCTAAAACATGTTTTTTAACGCAATTGCGAACGCACTACGGCCCTTCTTTTTGAAATACCAAAAATCGGGAGTTCGTTGTGGTGCCGTCTCCTGGATTTGTATCCTCCAACGGCAAACAGGCGACACCGCTCAAAACCGGTCCGCCGCAACGCCGGGCGCTCGCTCCTTTCCTCCTCGCTTTGGGTCGCCATGGCAACAGCAGGGAGTGGTGAAAGGAAGTCGACTCTCAGGTCTCCGCGATTTTTGACGTCAAGGCACCGGCGCCGATCGCGCGGGAACTTCGAATTCGGCATTTGGAAATTGTTTTTTTACTTCACGAATACTGAATTCCCAAATCTCAAATTTTGAGGGTAATGTCCCGGCATCGTTTTCAATCGTTTCGGATAATAAAAAAAAAATATGATTTTGATGTGTCAGTGCCCCTTTAAGATTTTCCTAGATTATGATTTATTTTTTTTTTTTTTTTGTACGAGAGCGTGGGATGCAACGAAACTATAACCATGAGCGTATCGTTTCTCAATATCCTCGGCACCTTTTTTTTTTCTGATTTCTGGCATCTTGATTTATCGAACATTTCACATTTGGTGGTTTTCTTGTAAACGTGAAAACACGGAACACGGGAGGAGCAGGTCAGCAAAGTGTAGCTAAATAAGAAAACTAATGTTTCCATCAATTCTTCCTTTTTTTTCCCACGCAAACCTAATATTTACAGGAACACAGATACATGCCAATAACAGTGAGCCCCTCCAAACTCTTTTCGGAGGTACCCACTCTAACCGGTTCACTGCCATGAAGCTCTTTGCCGTCCACGTGAGCCTCCCATGGCACCGTAACGTTACAAGAACCCTTGCTGCACAGCATCACGAGTCTGCACGACCGATTCGACGATGACGTCGCGTGGACCTTCGGGGCGTCCATTGCCGATGCCGGAGAACTGGTCCTTTTGTCGGGACCCTTCCTTCACCCTTCCTTGAGCTGTCCAAGACCTCATCGAGGCCAGGCGCTTCGGCCAAATGGGGTGAATGGCCAAAGGAACGCGAATGTCGTGCTCCTTTGGAGGAGAGACGGAAGTTACGCTTGAGATGCCTTCGTCAGAACCGATGTCCGGATGATCGTCGGGTGCGGCGCTCTTTGAAGATTCTTTCTCCAAAACGTCGCTGTGGTAGGTCGCTTCCAGGGTACATGGGGCTTTGTGGTCGGCTTCCGGCGTGCTCGCATTTGTTTGCTTGGAGCTGTTCATACTTCCGGTCCAGTAGGAACTGTCGTTGTCTTTTAGTGAGTTCACGAATTGTATGGTGCGCTCCATTTTAATCATCTCCAGGTCGCTCGTGTACGGTACGCTTCTCTCGCTCTGCAATCGACTGAGCCGAAAGTTGCGATTACGTTCGTCAAGATACCAGGTAGGCGGTTCCTTCCTGGCGCTGTTCTGGGCGAATGGATGTTTGTTCTGCCAGATTTGCGCCACTAGCAGAAGCAGGAGAGGTATGGAAGCACACACACCCACTGCGGCGAGGACAACAAACCGGTAGTGGCCCTTGGCGCATAATGCGCTTCCGCTGCCAATCAGCGCGGCGCTGAAGATGAGGCCTATAAGGATCCGATATATGCATTTATAGTTGCGTTCTTGTAACTTCTTCAGGTTCCTCGCCTGGCCTCCACCACCGACAACTGAAATTGGTAGAAAATAAATGAGAAACGTGGAAAGAAACAAAGTTTTACAAAAATATTCAAGCAGTCTAAATCCTATCCACATTTAAACGACTTTCTCAACTTCCATCCAGTCACGTGGTATCGAAAGTTTTCAATAGATTTTCTACAGACTTTCTTTCAACCAAAGTCTATAGAATACAACCACTAGAAATTCTATAGAATTTCTATTGCCGCGTTTTAATAAACTTTCTATGATATTTCTATAGACTAGATTTGATAGGATAATAACATGCAGTGCGGAGAAGCGACATCACGCTCAGTTGGAGCGTCCTCGCGGAGGCTGCTTTTCCAACTTTCTCAAATAATTATTGCCTCGTTAAAATATTTATAATTATAGATACAGTTCCTTAACCCTTAAAAACCACATTTGATATGAATTATTGGCGGGAAAAAGCAACATATCTGTGTATTCATGATGTCTGCATATGTGCACACGGTATGTTCGGATTGGATGTTTCCGTGGATATATTGTGACAATCCTAAAAGTAATTTTTATGATTATTTTTTTCATGAAAAACTGGCCATTTGTTTATAGAAAGGGGACAAAAAAGTTGTTAGTATCTCTATCTGTTTTCTATACAATTTCTATCTCATCTGTATACACTGAGTTTTATGTAGTCTACGAAAATTAGTGGCCAAAAAGCCTTAACAGTGGATAATAAAGTGGATACATTTTCTTTAGAATAGCATAGCCTTAAGCATTATTCTCTATAAACTTCGGTAGAAAGTGAGTGACTTTTTTTTAGGGGCGAAGCTCCTTAGGGGCTAGCCATGTCCGTATGTCCGTCCGCCGTCCGGCGTACCCTGCTCGTGAGTTCAGGAGCGAGAGCAAGAAAAAAAATGAAAAAACGTCTGGCGTGCCCCTGCTCGTGAGCTCACGAGCAGGAGCTCACGAGCTCCTCCTCGTGAGTCCAGCAGCGAGAGCAAGAAAAAAAAAATAAAAAAAGATGAAGAAAAAAGAAAAAAAGAAAAAGAATAAAAAAAATAGGGGGCTGTGAGATGCCATCCCATCTGTCTTCTTAAAAAAAGAAAAAGAAGAAAACCACACATTCTTCTACTGACATGAATGAAAACGGCACCATCAGCACTACCTATGACCAAAATCAGTATCAAGAAAAAGAAGAAAAAAAAAGAGTAGGGGGTTCTGAGTTGCCATGACTCTGGCCTCAGCTCTCGAGGAGACCAGACGTATGCTCGTGAGCTTCCTTCCAAGATTCGATCATTGCACCGATACGAAAGGTTCCTGGCACCTCATCGCAGCCGCCATGGATACCGACGACCGACAAGGACAAGTCACCTAACCAGCCGACACGCCAAGCGACCCTCGGAGGCGTTTTGAAGGGTCAGAAGATGCATACTGGAAGCGGAGTGGCTAAGCCTACCGCTGCTCTTGCCCAAGCGATTGAAGGAAGCATTGGAAGCCAGGCGTCCTCGACCGCCGTTTTACAACGGAACATCGTCATGGACGCAGGATACTTCCTGACGTGCAGTACCAACAAGGATTGGGTCAACACTTGCATGGCTAACCAAGCATTCCTGAGGAAATGCATGGAGCAGCGGGAGAAACTTCAAACACTGCTCTCAAACAACGAAGAGAACAATGGTTTCAAAGAAAGCCAAACCGAAACGACGCCTCTTTGTGACGAAGTCTCTGCCATGAACGAAGAAGAGTTTCCTACTCTGGAAAGTAGCTCGCACCAAACACGCGAAGAACAACATCGCCCCATCACCGACGATAAGAACGACGACGGCTGGCAGACAGTGCGACGAAAGCGAAAACACAACCAGGCGTCAGCAGGCCAACGTGAGTCTTTCGACAAAAATGTTCCAAAACCACCAACCCAGACGGTTGTTCTCCGCCCTGTGTGAAACATAACATCGAGGACTTCTCGACAAAAGAACTCCGCACCGCCATAGAGAAGGTCGGGATAAACAACGTCGACGAGTTCACCTTGCACAGACACGAAAAAGCGAACACCATTGCCATCACCACTAGGAACAGCTCGCTCGTTTCCAAGTTCCTGCAGATCACGGAAATCCCAAACGAACAACACGGCCCACTGGCTGTGCAACCCTACAAGGCGATAAGCTCAAACGAAGTGCGAGGGGTGATATGCCTTAATTCACCACACGATGACCCAGCAACTCTCGTAAACGAGCTTACGTGCAACACGCACAAGATTGTCGCAGCACGAGCCCTGGGCATCAAGCAAAAGACCATTCTCGTTACCTTCGAAGGCAAAACTGTGCCCCGATATGTCCGCTACGTCTTTGAGGTCTACAAGGTGTCAGAATACAGGCCAAGACCACTGGTCTGCTACGGGTGTCATCAACTCGGCCACAAGTCTGACGTATGCCCCTTAAAGATCAAACGATGCGGATCGTGCGGACATGAACATGGAGAAGTTGAAGAATGCCAGGCCACACCAAGGTGCCTGAACTGCGAGGGACCGCACATTGCCACGAGCAACGAGTGCCCGAAAAGAAAAATTCCACCGAGAAGCAACACGCGAAGAAATAACCAAAGTAAGAGATCTGCCACGAGAGGAGGTATGACCTCGCAGTCTTTGAAAAGTGTGTTCACACAGACATCTCCAGCACAAACGAGGACCCTCTCGGACAATTCGTGGGCTAACATAATAAGGCCTAATTAACAAGCAACCGATCCGGCAGGGTTATTCTACTCCACAACCTCCGCACCATCCGGAAATGCGCAACAACGGCAGCCGGGGCAACAGAGCCCAACCTCACTCCTTTCAAACACTACACCAAGGATGCAACTCGATTGGGAAGCAAGGTTCGAGACACTGAGCCGAAGGGTTGAGCAAGGTTTCGCAAACGTCCAGACCAACACGAGCCGAATAGAACAACTAGAATCTCTAGCATTTGAGATCCTCACCAAGGTGAACTACATCGGCGAGAAATTCGACAAATACCTCACTGCCAAACACCCACCACAGTAAATATGAATTGAAATTGAAAAAACATGATAGCCGCAGCAAAACGGTTAAAAGCATTAAGGCTACGGCCCGACAGCTTCGAGCTGAAGGCCGTATCATCAAGATACGATGGATCCCCGGACATCAAGGTATCCACGGAAACGACGAGGCACATGCAGCCGCACGGGAGCAGCTACAGGCAGTCCCACCCGGCCAAGGCTCAGTGCACCCCGTCGTAGATGAAGACATCGAAGACGACGTCGACCCGTCGGAAATCAAAGCCCAAGAACGGCTAGAAAGAAGCCAAAGACTCGCCGATCTACGCAGGCCAGACGAACACCCCCTTCCATCGACATCTTACAGTCGGTGGGAGCGTGTATGCCTCCGAAGGTTGCGTACAGGAACCGCCATGACACCGGCCTTAAAGTATAAATTACGAAAAAGCAACAACGGGGAAGATTCCAAAACTGACATGTGCGATCACTCTCAAATATTGGCAGACATCAAACACATCATCTGGGATTGTCCCAAAAGTGACATCAAGCGGAAACTAGCTTTGAATGCTCTACCGCCACAAGAAAGACCATTCTGCCTAAAGGAATGGGTTCTTCCAGACGGCACCCCCGAGCACAGAAAAGCAATTTTAGACTCGCTGATAGAGTTCATCAAGTCCGCCGGACTTGATATTTACATTTAGCCCCAATCCCTCCTTCCCCTTTCCCTGTAGCCAATGACGAGTTTCAAGGGCAACAGGTACCCCACCTGAAAAAGAAAACATTTTCTCACTCACTCTGAGTTGCTGTCTTCTTAAAAAAAGAAAAAGAAGAAAACCACACATTCTCCTACTGACATGAATGAAAACGGCACCACCAGCACTACTTATGACCAAAATCAGTATCAAGAAAAAGAAGAAAAAAAAAGAGCAGGGGGTTCTGAGTTGCCATCCCATCTGTCTTTTTACAAAAATAAAAAGAAGAAAACCACACATTCTCCTACTGACATGAATGAAAACGGCACCATCAGCACTACTTATGACCAAAATCAGTATCAAGAAAAAGAAGAAAAAAAAAGAGTAGGGGGTTCTGAGTTGCCATCCCATCTGTCTTCTTAAAAAAAGAAAAAAAAAGAAAACCACACGTTCTCCTACTGACATGAATGAAAACGGCACCATCAGCACTATCTATGACCAAAATCAGTATCATCAGCACCACCCGAGCTTCGCCCCAATCAACATCATTCACCACGTGGAGATGCGGTAATTTTTTGTAATGGGTAAGACACAGAAAACAGATGGCACGGTTGTGAAGGTTTCAAATGGTCACACGTGTCGAGCTAATGGCGACATGTACAAACGTCCCACAAATGCGTCACGTTGGACACTGTTACGGCTAGAAAGTGCGCATTTTCACTCTATAACATGCACGGCCGCGTGTTGGCGCAGTCAATGTCACCTAGAAGACAAGGCCTGCGCATGACGTTTCGTTAGTAGTAGAGTTCCTGTAGAGGCTCCCTACGGGAGCCAGAGTTGCGTGTTCATCCCCGTAGCGCCGTCTTTCCTGCAGAGCATGTTGTTTCTGCTCTTCACATGACTGAATTCCGCGAATAGAGGCGCCGCGCGTTCGAGGAGCGCGGCGCGCTCAAAAGTGGGGGAACGTACTGTCGGGACGCGTACAACTTCTACTTTCCTGCACGGCATTTGGTCCAGACCCTCACGTGATCGGATCTCGGCGAATAGGGGCGCGGCGGCACGTGGAAAACAGACGCGCAACTCTGGCTCCCGTAGGGAGCCTATACAGGAACTCTAGTTATAGTATAGCAGACTGTAGTATAGATCCCCGACCCGCCCCCCGAGCCGTATATGTAGAGAGTTTGGCCATTCGTTGGGAAGTATAGGAGACAAATGAAGCGGCGCCATTGGCCGAAAGCGGGCTGGGCGTGTTCCAGGGCGTCTTCAGAAATTCGAATGTGACCAACCAGAAGCCGGAAATAATACCCTGGCGGTGGTCGCGAGAAACAAAC